CTGATCCAATTGGCGTTTAGTTCATACGAAACAGAATTTCCTAACGATAACAGCAGTTTACCAACAACACTGCAATGAAATTCTTGTTTAAACGCGCACTGAAAAGGATACCCGAAATCTAGGAAGATGTTAACATTTCAAGCTTAACATGCAGCAAAAACAATGCATTAACAAGATCTAAGCGGTTCTGTTCCCCGCTGCATTAAGAATTCTTTCGATTTCTCCGTAGATGCACAATGATATAGAGGAAAGGTTCACTACAGACAAAAATTCTGCTTCAACATTTGGCGGTGAACACAAACAAGTTGAATTCAGTACATTTTTGATGTTCCTTTTGCTTCCAAGTGTTCCAACTTTTATTTTCCACTTATTCGTTTTACATGGCAAGGTATGATGTGAACTACTATAGCGATGGTGAGATACGAGCAGAACTCAGAACCTCGGTTAGGCTTTGAAGCCTACATTAACTTTACCGAGGCACCTTACTACTTCTTACCTCTTAGTACTACTACTTTTCTTACTACTTCCTACTTTTACCTTTTTTTCTTTTGCACTGAATACGTTGAAATTGTTTCCTTTTTCACCACCACTATTACTACCACTATTGTGCTCCTACTGGCAGCAATATATGTGAATGTGAGCACCACCACTTCTGACTATTAGATTTCCTTCAAACTTTGAAATCTAGTGCATAATTTTAAGCGCATCGGAAAAATTTATTAGGATTTATTTTTCTTCAGAAACCGAAGCACTCGAATTGATTGTTCCACAGCTTTCAATTCTGCGCTATGGAACCGTTTTCAAGGAAGAATTCGCTTAAAAATTTTATATACGTGAGTTGTCTTCTGAAGACTTATATCATAATTAAGTGGTCTTGTTAGACAAGATATGAATTTACTTATGTGTGAAGTGGTTCAGATGGTTTTGAAAAAAAACATAACTAGGCCAATAATTCTTTCATAACAAGAACACTCAACTGAAATTTCGAAACCGACTTTCCTTGAACCTCGATATCACTGATCAATATGTATTCTTTCTTTGATGAGCTTACACGAGGTTGATAATGATATTTATTTATTTTCGGCTAACGTTTCGACGTCATCGTCTTCCACAGAGCCGATGATACGAGGCGAGGTTCAAGAAAAGTCGATTTCGAAATATTACTACACTTTGTGCCAGCTGATAAAAACACCGACTTCTGCACGATGTGCGCAATGATGTATGTCCGGAAGAAAAACAAGTTGTTATCACCGGACATTATCATTATATCCACCATCAGCATCGTGTATAAAAGGGCATCACTGAGTGAGGATGCCTCATTCGAGAAGACGGCTCACTGAGGAAGACCTGACTCGACACGAAGGCGAAGCTGCAACGTCGAGACGAATAACAAGCATGGACCATCGACTCGGATCATCGGCTCTGAGGAAGACGAAAACGTCGAGACGTTAGCCGAAAATAAATAAATACCATTATCAACCTCGTGTAAGCTCATCAAAGAAAGAATACATACTCAACTAAAAATTCATCAAGTGGATGATCGGAAAACCTTGATTACTTCATCACGTTATTGCAGCATGGAAACACTAAAATATTCAACTGGACCGACTTACACTACTGTTAAGAAGAAATCAACAAGGCAAATGTGCACGTTGTTACCGTTTATTTTACTACGAGACAATTTTTTTATCTATATAAAGTAATGAAGGGAGCGGGGAACACAGTTGTAGTGACCTCGTTCACTACGTGGAGGAACCAACCTACCCACATGCTGTTTCTACACCGCTTCAGGCCTACTAAACCTCTAATTTACCCGGGGTGCCGATATTGGTACCGGACTAGTCCAGAACAACATGTCTTCTTCCAGTCCTGGCAGTAACGCCTGAGCACGACCAACTTAGGATTCCAAGGAGAATCGACTAGACCAGCACTCCAACAACATTAGTAACGAACACGAGAAAATCCTCAAGCAGCAGCCGAAGCCACATATGAAAATTTCGAACAGCTTCCTGGATGATGGATGCGAGAAAACGAATCAATTAAAAGTGCCGTTGCGAAATTTTAAAGTCGGTTATCAAACCGCATTAGAGGAATTTTTATCGCTACAAATGTGTTGTCTGCAACCTTAAAGAACATGGGAGAAAGCATTCGGCGTTGATTAATTCACAGTGGTTGCGTAGCACACTTGACTCCACAAGCACCTTAAATGATGATTGAATGGATATTTAGCAAATAAATGACGATTGAATAGCAACTAACTCCTTACTTTAAAATTCTTCTAAGTTATTTCTTGACTATAATTCCTACAAAGAACAAATATGAAGCTCTTAGTATGGAGTCCTATTTAAAAACCGTTATGTGCACCCACCAGCTTCCTAAACCACTGGAAATCCTACCAACTGATTTCAGCAGATACTATTATTATTGGATCGAAGACCTAGACTCCATATTCACCCCTCGAGTTTTACAAAAGCAGATGGTTTGATAGTCTTCGACCTATTTTTTAACCAACACTAAAAAAGTTGCAAGCTGCCAAGTCAGAGCTACCTGCTTGCTATTCATACGACCCACGACGATTCATACATCCGCCACGGAAGTAGGCATTCAGCAATCCACTGGGAACGATAGCAAAATGATGAGCAGCACCATCTTCGAGAGAAATCAAATCCTTAATGTCGTCATTTTTTCGACTTCTTAAGTTTTGGGGCAATGAGCAAACAGTTCTTCAACAATGTAGCCATGTTTATATTGCAGAGCATCTCTAAGTACTGCCCTGCTTGTTTTCCTATTTCTAATAATATGCTTAAAATTGGTACAAGTAATAGATAGTGTAACAGTAGCAGTAGAGTTGAAGTGATTTTGTGTTTATATACATGTTTCTACGAACTTCGCTTGTTGAGATGATGTGAGGGTGACGTAGGTGACTTACATTGTCGTTGTTGTTGTTGTTATTGTTATTGCAACAACAATAATAATAATAATAATAATGACAATGATAATAATAATAACAATAATTAATAATAATAATAATTAATAATAATAAATAATACCAATAACAATAATAAATAATAATAACAATAATGATAATAATAATAATAATAATAATAATAATAAACAATTAAAATTAATAACAATAATAATTAATAATAGTCTTAACCTTTTTATTTACTGCCTATTCGTTTTACGGCAGGCTATTTTGCGAAATATAACTATTATAATGCTGAGATATTTGCAAAACTCCGGACCGCAGGTGGAGGTGGGAAACGAAAGCGCTATTGTCCTTTCCGAGGTCCCAGATCAATCCCGCTGACAGGTGATTGCTGATGGCAAAAGATCGATAGAACTAGATGAGAGACAGGCGAAACGAAGGACCCACACGGTATGGCGGTGAGCGAGTTACTGACCGGAAAGGACAATAGCGCGTTCGTTCCACACCGCAGACACCTGCGGTCCGGAGTTTTACAAATATCTCAGCATCAACAAAGTTATGTTTCGCAAAATACCCTGCCGTAAAAACGAATAGGCAGTAAATACAACGGTTAAGATGATAATAATAATAACAATAATAATAATAATAATAATAATAATAATAATAATAATAATAATAATAAAAACATATATCAGCCCTGGATCAGCTCAACAAGGGCAGTTCGAGAGAAGATATATATAGATATATCGACTATTTATGCCGAAGTTTTTACAAAGTCGGTCCTTTGAATTTGTACTGTAACGATTTCTCATAAGTAAAGTGAAGTATCTATGAAGTAAAAGTAAAGTATAGCTATGAAATAGCCGGATAAATATGTGAAGGTAACCATATTACATGTTAAGATATGTGGAAATCAGGTTCGTTGTGCCACGAACTGCAAAATGATATGATGACACGTCCATATGTTTAAGAAACATCAACACATCATTCAACGCAAGTGATGCGCACAAAATACACAGTGAACTATGTCCTCATCTCATTGTTGAAATCACATGGAAAGTATTTAAGTTAGATATTTAGCTGACCAAGTGCAAAATGCTAAAAAGGAGTGTCTTTCGGTTTTTCGGTAAAGATATCTCAACGACTTCAGCAAGAGGTTTGCAGAAACAAATGAAGTAACGAACATGTGAAAGAAAGAGGGCTTGAAGCATGGACATGATTGCTAGCAAAAAGATGAAATGGTTTTTTCTGAACTAACAAACCCTCGTTTATTTTTATTCACTTTTAGATACGCACTCTTATAAGGAATATTTATGAAATTAAAACTCTAGCCGTGGCTAATAATTGCCAGCAGTTTGCTAGTCAAGCCTTTCGGAACACATCTTTTTTAGGTTTACTTGGATGGTCCGATCACCCGTAAACTATATTCTTTATCTTCAAACGGTTTACCGCCTCATCGTGGTTGGGAGATATTCCTGGCTGTCGTGCCGTGATGTATATCAGGAAGATTTATTCCGCCGGCAAGGTCTCCCAAACCGAGCCCGGCGTTCCCATCTGGAAGCCAAGTTAAGGGCACACCAATACCAGGATCCACCACCGTCCTGGTATTAAAGTCGCATCGTGGTAAAACTCCCTCCGATCCACAGGGGCTGCGACGGCCTGTGGTGGCGACAACCTGGAGCAGACTTTGTCCTGGTTGACCTCAGGACTCCAGGGAACCATAACGGCTAAGCCAACAAAACTCCGAAAAAATGGAGATTGTGCTAGAGCGCGTACAACCAATGAGGTATCCAAGTAATTAATGCAAAGCAGAACCATAACAGCATGAATTTAACCCTCAACGGATGAATTCCATGTTTTTTAATATGGTGCTTTGGTTAAAATGGACTTTTAAAATAGTGAGACGCTTTGTCTCCAATTACATTTTTGCATCACTCGTTGGATATCGACGAAGCAGGGCAATAGACAACGCAATACAAACGTAAAAATGTACTTTCTCAAATCTAAGAAAATGTTTGCAGTTAAAAAGCTATAAAAGTTATAAGCTATACGTCGTTTTACCGAGAAGTTGATGTCGAATTTTCAGGGCAGTTTACGGGTCCCCAAGAAACCGAAGCCGCCAAACACATCAAATGAACGACCCGTTTTTCTCATCAAGCAGGTTAGGAACCCTCAAGCTGTGATTTGGTCACCATACAGTTCTCATGAGATCAACTTGTGTACCTTAAATTTCAACTGATTTTTAAACGTAGGCATCGTCTGACAATTTGCAAGTTTTAAAACCTACACGTGAAGAGATGCCAATACCTATGTTTCCATCGAAACCGATACGGATACCTCCGTGCTCTCTTGTTCAACTCATCACCGGCACCGTTCCAAAGGCATATGACAGAGAGAATAGAATGACAAGTTTTGAAAGAAAGAGAAGGTACGACATATTATCAATATCAACAACACCAACAGAAACAACTAAAACGATTTCCTACCGCATATCATATATTCAAGGAAGATGTACAGTTGAGTTAAATGCACCTGGTCCATCGAAGCGTTTTGATACGTTAACAATCTACAAATTGATAACGGATGCAATATGAACAACACACGAATCCTCACATGTCAACGAGCACTTTTACTAAAGAAGCCTGTTTTCGCCTTTCCTTAGCACCCTAATCATTCCAGTTGGTGGGTAACCAATATAAAGACATGTTCATTGTCACAGAACTAAGACCAGTTCATCGCACCCGTTAGGAAAGGCAAAATGCTCGGACCGTACAATTCTCTCAACCGCAAACTTCTCTCTTTATCATCCCTTTACCACAAAATTTAATGTAAGCATATGTGCATGTGCCTCATAAAAACAAGCTTATATATATGCATATATATACGCATATATATATATATATATATATATATATATATGCGTATATATATGCATATATATAAGCTTGTTTTTATGAGGCACATGCACATATGCTTACANTGTAAGCATATGTGCATGTGCCTCATAAAAACAAGCTTATATATACGCATATATATATGCATATATATATATATATATATATATATATATACAGAGCACGTGCGGCGCAGTAGTCGGAGGCGCCCTGCAACACACATGAGGAATTAATGCCCGCACCCACAGCCCACCAAGCCTACCATTCGTCCGGGGTCGCAAATTGGTACCAGATTTGTTTGTGAAGATGGTAGCACTGGCTCGATACATCTGTAGGCCACCGCGAATCATTCTAAAGACTAGATATGCAATCAATCACCTCCAAAGATGCTTAACGAAGTCGAATGCACGGCGCATTGCTCAGAGATTGATCAATGCGGAAAGCTTTATCTTTCACTCTTTTGCATTTACATATATATGTATGTACACGTAGACACATAAATGTATACACATCTACGTATATATATATGTATATATATATATGTACATACATATATATAATGACATAACATTGGATAACTTTAATTTCTGAGATATATATATTCTTGGTTTTCCAAGACTCTGTGACATCGTAAGAACATGTTATAGAAAATGTATAGTAATAATCCTAAGGTCACACAAAATATTTGGAGCTGGTCACCACGTTAACGAACAACTCTTTTGCCCGGAACAAGCGAGCCAAATCGAAATCCACTTCACAAGCTCCTGTTCGACTGACGTCATTTTGCAGGTAAGAATTTGTGGTCAGTTTTTAAGATGTACTGTCGCCACAGTTACATTCCTATTTAGGTACAAGCACCTAATGGTGAGTCCAGCAACTACTTGTACCCAGCCAGGAAGCAGTCAGTATTCTTTAATCCAACTAAGGTACGTTTAAAGCACCCTTGTTTGAGTATCCGAGTGACCTATTTTTAGAACGAATCCCAACGCGTACCCTAGCTATCGCTTGCAATGCTTTTTGGTTGTTGTCCCAACAAATACGAACCAGGACACCCTCAAACCGTCACCACAAGCAGTCCCTGACCATCATAGGTAAAAATCCTACCAATTTTCGGTTAGGTTTTTCCCTTAATGCGTCGAATGACGGTAGTTTCACTCTTAACAGAGGATTCGGATAAAGTGGCCACCTATGAATACCTCGTTTCTCTAAAATCTTCAGAAACCTTCACTACAGTATATGACAAAAGTGTTGCTAACTTGTCTCCTTAATCGTACTAAAAATAGCAAAACTAGCCGATGCAAAAGCAAAAAAGATGGCGTACCCCCGATTTGCAATAAAATAATATGAAATTTCACCGAACATAATTCCTCAACTTTCCTTCAAAGTCTGATCACTATAGGGCTGGAATATTACTTCGAATGTGCAATCCAACGCATCATTTAGCCACACAGCTGTGAACAAGCAGGAAGGAAAACATCGATAACTAGTAATAATAATAACTGAAAACTATGCTGTAAGCGACGACATATAATATTTCCTACATAACCCAACAGCACATAATTTGCAGATACCAGCAGTTCTTTCAACGAAACCTTCTTATTCCAGGTCGGCTGTGGTCACGGAACATGGCGGATTAACATCGCAATACGAAATGGCTGCCGATTTCGTCACATCCGTACTGAAGAAATTGAACTAAAAGGACAAGGCCAGTCAATTTGAGGACTCCATTAAACCAGTATTCCTCAAATGAAACAGTATAGTTGCATGAGGCAAATCACTCATGTCAAGTGAAAAACGACCACATAGTAGTGTAATCGTGCAGAAATCCTGAATATTAACTCGGTCCTTTATCGAGTTATACAACGAAACCCTGACACCTGAACACACTGTAACTCTATGCCAAATACTCTCACTTACGCATAGCTAGTGAATGAATATGTAATGCTTTTTTTGTAGGTGTAATTGTCTACAACATTGAAGCAAATGGTACCATTCGATTGACGGAAAAATTGTGGCTAAACTGGCTGAAATAGAAATGTATTTCAGCACAATGCATTTCTACCAATAATTACAGAGAATTTCTTAACATTTCCATACCGTTTACGAACGCAAACAATCCTTGCTTAGCCATACTTTTTTTGCAATTTCACTGTAAAGTGTCCATAATTACTTCAAAACCGCAAAAGTAGCGGATGCAATCTTTCAGCTTTATGTTAACTATTCAAAGAGAAGCGAAACTGAGCTTGAATGAATATTTTTCTTACAGTTCATTCTGCAAGCCTCTGAAACATGCAGACGATCTAGAGGGGTACACTTTCTCCTCTATCCCACTTAAAACTATATATACATATATACGTAATTTCAGTAATATATATGTATATATACCACAGATTCAACATTAGTGTACTCATATATGTGTCCGCAATAGCACATGTGAAGCTCGTAACAAATTCAAGTGTTCATGTCTTATTCATGTGCGCATAATACTACAAGTGAACAAGGTTCAACTAAGCAAGTTACATTATTAGAAGAATGATGGTATGGTATGTAAAAAAATAACAAGGTTATCATCGACAAAATAAAAAATGCACTCCTGATATACCAGTCTTAAATGGCTTACTGTACAATCATAGCAGAGCTTTGGAAACAATCCCAGGATTTCGCAATAAAGTAGTAAACACCTCAAATATAGAGCGACATAGGACAATACAAAATCATGGAAACAGAGAGAGCATGACACAACATGGAATTATAAAAGTCGGTTTTTAGAATAAATCTAATTCACAATTTCAAATAGCTCGTTTATCAAGACTCCAAAAAAAAACTCCGTGATTTGAAAAAACCATCTAGTAACAGTACCTATTGTCAAAGTTCTGGCGAAGTCGAGCGATCATCACCATCAGGACGTCCTCTTCTATCAAGCAACGGTGAAAGCGCCGTTCTATTATCAGGTGATTTGATTAAAATGGTCGGAGAAGAAGCAGTGGAAATAGAAACCTGACGAACGCTTGCATCCGAGACAGTAGATTCTCGTTCTGTATCGATATTGGGATCAGCATTCATTGCAAAGGTGATACTTGTGTTTTCTTCAACGGGTCCACTACTATTAAGCACTAGATCAGCTCCATGCTTAGAATCTTCGAATGCAATGAGTCCAGCCATAATTCCTTCATCATTGTCCTCGGGTCCTACATCTATCACTTCAATTGACATCTCTTCCTCATCCGGAATTCGATCTTTCGATTGACCTAACATTTGTGAAAGATCAGGAGCTACAACACTCGTGTTACCGACTTCATAACACCTGCTGCTATCGTCATTTTGAATTCCAAGTATATTTGATAAAAAGAATCGGTTGCAACCAAAGAAGCTATGATACGTCACTTCGTACGGTTCGGGACGCAGAAACAGCATGTCAGTCAGCACTGCATCTCTAGTACGACGCCGAGTAAGTTGTTGCTCCTCCCGAAGCAAAGAGTACCAGCGCTGGTCGAGTTCTTGCTGCTGTTCCATATTTTCTATTATGCTTTGCTGTTCCTGAGTAAATTGAATACATGACGCTGACAACACCTGTGCTAATAACAGCTGCTGTGCTGTGAAATACACCAGATAGAGCTGCTGCAGTTGGCGCATCTGTTCGCACAATCCATCTTGTTCATGCACCTCGTTACGTATTTGACGATTATACTCCCGAATCTTTTGTCGTTCGACGGCGACAGGATTTCCAGCGGCTAAAAGTTCCCGCTCCATTCCACGTAATTTCTTCAACAACGGCCACTGTGGAACCTTCTAAAACAAAAGTGTAATCTCAAATTGGAAAATTTCACAAAGTGTCAAACTAGATGAATCTATTGCGATTTCAAATTTTCTTGCTTTCTCTCAATAACCTATGGAATATTCCCAGGAATCTCTACGAAATACAAAAAGAAATGCAGTAGACATCAAGAGTACTTTGTGAAAGGAGTGCATCAGTACAAACAAAAAAACAGATGTGCGAAGAAGTTCTGGTCCAAAATCAGGCTTCTGGCTACAACCGACAGTCTACCTCCACAATTTAATATCTAATACGATTTTTAATCTAAAACGATATAGAGATGATATGTTTCAAGTTCTGCTCAATGAACTAATAGAAACTCATTAAGAAACATATTTCACTCAGGTATAATAACTACAGCCCGATTTGAATTGATTTCCCCTCGAGCGGTACCAAAATAACCGCTACTTTAAAACTCAAACCAACATATCAAAGTCCGCAGTGATCTTAACTCAGTTATATAAAAAGAATTAGAACCTACAGAGCTATGCTGACCAGATTACAAGTTCTCTTAATGAGACCATGATGAAATTATGATCTCATGAAGCCTAGAAATCCTAATTTCAAAAATGAAAAGAAATAAACAAGCGTTATACCGTCTAAACAACCCTATAATGCACCCAAATGCGACGCAGCTATTTCCGAACGCTTGGCTTTCGTGTAAAAAAACTGAAAAATTAAACCTTGCTCATTTTTTTCTCCAATTTTTAAAATGAACGACTACGCGAGGTGAAACTGCAGCTTCAAAAAATCATATCTACTAGTAAACAGACACAATAAAACATCTTCTACAATGAAACATGGTCAAACTGTCGAAAAACCAGCATCAGTCTCTAAGTATTAGAAGAAGCATCGTTCATACATACTTAACATGTGTTAAAACTAATCAATAGCTCCGACTAATGATTCTGACGGCGAAGTCTCAACCAAAACTTTGAACGGACTTTTCAGCAAATTTTTCTTACATCAAATAAATGGTATAGATGGAAAACAAAAGCATAAGAAGGCAACACTCACATCATTCGAATCGTCATCGGTTTCTAATTCGACATCCAGCGTACTGATGTCAATTGGTTGCGGTCTTGCCAACACCCGATGAAAGGCTGACGGTTCAGAAGAGGAGTTTCTAAGACTTCTTCCAACATCACTTCGCTTCTCGCTTTGAGACCACATCATTGTGTTCCACGTAGGAGGAGGATTATAAACAGCAATAGGACATTCCAACAGACACTCACGCGGCTCAAGAACGGGTGTGCCTTGAATGATTTGAGTCTCATTACCACCATCTCTGTCTGCCCATAACGTTGGTGATTCACAGTGATCTGGTCGTGATCTCCACAGTACTGGAATACTGCGCTGACCTTGAACTTCTAACCTATATTGGACCATTCTGATGAAATCCTGCCGATGTGGACTACTTCTTCGTATCCACTGTTGAGGTAGGTCTTTTTCTCTATGGATAGGAGAAGGAATCGGTCGATCACCTGTCTTTGGACGTTGTCGTTGTCCAGGAATCAGTAACTTTATGGTATTATAAACACGAAAACGACAAAAAGATAGTGCTCTTCGGTACATTAAGCGATCACGCCTTGACTCACACAAACTTTCTCTCCCATCCTTTTGCGACAAGGAAGAAACTTCAGGTTTCCATGATGGAGATAATGAAATTGAACGTTGACGTGATGATGAAGGCAATTTTGCATGATGTTGCAACGAAAACTGACGGCGCCAATTAACCACAGCTTTTGCCTTAACAGTAGATGTCGCTGGTTCTAGAATCGGAAGTCGTTCCAACGAAATGCATGATAGAGTTGAATTCCAACGAATAGGATTCCGATGTAGTGATGGCCTGATGCAAAGGTTATCCAATGGTAGCAACTCCTCAGAATAACACCTTCGAGTACTGATCGTAGACAATTTCGCTACCCATTGCATAGTACGTTCATTTTCGATACCACAGCTGCAACTTCGAAGCCGAGCAACCCCGGAAGCACGGTCGTCGTCGTCACAATCATCGACTCGGAATGAACTCCACGACATCTGTGGTGGCTAGAACAAGAAGAAAGTTTAAACAGAAAAGATATTGAAAAATTGAATGGTTTTCATAAACCACTATCTTCAATAAGCACGTAAAAAAGAACTACCAATGGATGGTTTTCGAATCGATCCTTCTTCTCATAATAATCCTCCCATTCCTCATCAGTACTATATGGTGAAAAGTCCCCAGGTGGTAATCTAAAAAGAAATAATAATTCAAAACTAAATGAAAATCCACCCAAATAATTGCACAATCAAAACTAGACATGAACTGGTGACAACATCGTCAATTAAGGGAACTCCAATAAATTCTCGTTCCGAACTCACAAGTCTATATCGTTGTCCGCTCGTCGAGGGCGTTTAAATCGAGGTTGGAGTGGAATGTTCAAATTCAAGACAACACCTAACAATATTTAAACATATTCTAAAAAGTACAAGTATGATAAATATAAAGCAAGCAACCTGTGGAATGGATAATTTTGGAAAAGAAGATTACCTGTGTTGATAACCATCGAAATGTACGCAAAACTAAGTGGTAATCGACTTTGCTTATGAAACAAAGGCTGAGCGGGGTTGTTGAAGAACTAAAGACAAGGTAACACATATAAATACTTCAGATTTTAACACGTGAATGGAAAGGCTTTTAAAATAGCTAAGCATGAAGATCTAACCTTAAGACTTTGCTGCTCTTTCGATTTTAAGTTGATTATACTGTTGCCTATACTATCCTGTCCAATTTCATAGTATTTTCTATAATCGCACTCCTCGTGACTGCTTCCACATATCGAAGTCAACGTCATCCCATTAGAAGCGACTGAATTGCACTTCGAAGATGAAGGCACAACAGTCTCGGCTATTTCGTTCATCGACAGTTCTTCAAGCCTGTACACTCCTTCATCAACTTGCTCGATCATATCCATTAAAGTCTTTCCTACGACTAGCAACTCTCTTTCACACTGCTCCATTTCTTTAAAGGCAACTGTCTCTATACTTTGGATAACCGAATTCAGTGTAGCAGAGACAATTTTCTCAATAGCATTCTCACTGAATGATTCCAAACCTTCCCCTTCCATTTTTGCTTCCTCGTTCTTTAACAACTCTAATGCAATATCGAATCTTCGAGCTTTTTCTAGCACTTCATTTGCAAGCACTTCTGCCTGTGCTGCATACCTGCTATTCATGCCATACCAGTAAGCAAGATCCTTGATGGCACTGAAATATCCAAAACTGTATGGTGAAGCGTAAACATGAAGAGCACTACACTCGATAAAACATCTGAACTCTAAACCAATGGAAACGACCTTAACTAGTTCTATGCAGAATTAAAATTTAATGCTTGGTAACCCACAATTTTACAGTCTTTTCAGCATCCAGGCGACTCACTCCTAAAACACGTTCCATATCTTTTTCGGCCTTCAAAAGTCTCGTCTTCTGCAGCATTTCCACTTCAGAATGACAACTCTCGCGTAGGAACTAAAAGCAGCATGGGGTAAAAGAAGTCCATAATTTTCCACAAAACGTTATTTCAGTAGTTAGCAAATTCAGATGTTTAGTCGACAATTACCTTAGTGAATTGCGCTTTGTCGTATAACTTTCGATTTTTTTCTACCCATCGCCGTTTTTCGAGAATTCTGTGTTGGTACTTCATTGTCTGAAACATGGACACCATACCTGTCATTGGAGAACTTTTAAAAAAAATGCTTTAAAACATTACTTTATAAAGTCCAACAAATGCTCGAGGACGTCGAAGTGACATCTCTAGAACCCATTCGAAATTCGTCACGTCAAAAATAGTAGCAGGACGAGATTTCTGAACAAAGCTAGTATTACACAATACAAGGAACGAAACAAACTCTATATAGAACACTAAAAACGGAAAAAAGAAACGTACCTTAACAACTCGTGGCATGGAAGAATGGGAAGAAACAGCAATTCCTGTGCGACTATCCGAATCTCGAAATTCGGTACCTCTACGACGCTTCGTGGATCGAGGTAGTAGCGGTGCGTCTGACCCTTGTGCTGCTAGTATTGCACACTAAACAAAAACATTTGGAAAGTATGTTGTGAATGAAAAGAGATGCCAAATACTACTATTAGAAAGAAGCCTTATAAACACACCGCACGCGACACTGTTTCGTGTATCATTTTTTCAGTCTCTGCACCCCTCCTGGCCAGCGTGTGTCTTATTCTCACTTGACGATGTTCAGGGATCTTGAAATAAAATAACGTAGAGTACACAATTTTACGACACTACCATCGCTTAAACTGCATAAATCACATTTAAAAACGTTATTCGCAGTCGCTGCCAATGTAGCAGACCAAACGTCCAAAATTGCTTGGGTATTGGTTAACATTGACACAATGGCAACAAGAAACACTGTTTCAGTACACGCATGAGAGAAAACAACCTAGTGCCAAAACTTCAAAGAAAAAACGTTGAAAACCAAAGAAAAAATTTGATAGGTGTACCTCTGTACCAACATGAAACTTTGATTTTAAGTTACTCACAAAATATACTTTCTCCTTCCTTGTTATCGACGCACATAATTCCAACAGCAAAGTTGGCAAAACAAACAAAATTTAGACCATCAATACCTTTGAATGCGTCAACAAAGTTTGCGGCTATAGTGGATGCTTTAAAACATTGACTATTTGAGCATTTGAAATAAAACCAATGGCTTGGGAAAACTACACATCCACTTGGACTAGGCAGAGCAAAGTGGCGAGCCCGTTCAATATGTGCAAGACTATGGATCGACCCTTAACCGGACCAGCCAAGGCTCCATCACTCCGGCCTATGGAATTGGTAAGAGACTAGTCTGGGGTCATCTCACTCTTTCCAATCCACGAAAATTGCCAAATCGTTGTGAAAAAGAACTGAGAGCACCCTAGCACAGCTATCTCAGGATTCACGGAGAATCGACACCATAGGCATTAACATACAGTTACAAGGAAAAGAACTTCGAGCAACATTCGGAACCACGTGCAAAAGTTCAAAGACCCTCGTATTAGTCAAAAGAGTTAGGAGCTTCACAATATATGTGTTGCCAAGTCGTTTAAAAAATACATTCCCACAAAGCGATACGGCAAAAACTCTACTGTAACACTAATAAGGTTCCAACTCCTCAAATTCTTCAGTTATTTGAAAATATTAGCAACTGTCTAAAAACACGTTTTGTTGCAAGTATGTTACAATGACATCAATCCGACCACACAAACATAAAACATGATAAACCTGCAATCCCACGAGAAGCTAGAACCAGTTCTTGGGGAAATGTTTCAATTTAGGGCTTTTGGTAAAGCGATGCTAGCACTACAGTTTTAAAATACACTTCCAACGTACTTTTTTCATTGAATGTTTGGCTGAAGACGGTCCTTCCTCATCACTTATTGTAACAAGACCACGCTTCCTAGTCTAAAAAAAACTTGTAGAATTCATAGAGCCCTGGAGGTTTAAAAAAAAATAAGAATAAAACGGAAAAAAGACAAAACATAAATTCTGGCAATATATAAATATTGAAACAAAAGCGAACCTCAAATTTTGACTTCTTCAACGGTCGCGGACTGTCAAAGATTGGGGGAGATTCATCAACCTAAAATCTCATTGTAATAAGATTTTACGACCACTGTGCTAGTTTAAACATACCACTGCATCCTTTCGCTTACGTAGTCGCCTGCACCTTTGTGAATGAGAAACATTCTCTTCAGATAATATCGAACGCCGGTCTTTCACTTTGACTGTCGATTTCTAAAAGTTATTCATGGAAGCTTAAAGAAACATGAGCTGAACATTGGAATATTAACAGAAACAAAGTGAAGGAAGGAAAACTAAAAATGATCAACACCTTTGCAATTATTGTCGTGTTAACTCACATTCACTCATGTTGTGCTGAACTAACAAATTATTTTAACCTTCCTGCTAATTTTTGAGTTTTGATTGCACTTCCCCAAGAACCTCTACGATGGATTGCTATTTTCACGAATAAAATGTCCAAAGTCTTATTAGATATCGTAACCGAAAATACTACAAATATTTTTTTTAAATAACCCCACATTCTCTTGAAGACACAAAAGCTGTTTTGATCCGTCTTGAGCACCTAGTCTTTCATCACGAGCATTAATTTTCTGAAGCACGAAAACCGATTAAGTGATAGTTCAAAAGTGCAAACGCTACAAATACCTCCTAACTTACTTTTACAATGCGTGGTTCCTGTGTCATGCTCTCATTCTTATTAAAATTGGAATTTGAAGAAAAATCCTGAAAGTGTAAGAAATATAAGGAATATAAAGGAAGAAAAACAATACAATAACAAAAATAATGCTTAATATTGACACCCACCTGGGGACATTTCCAAAATTCTTCAAAAATAGTGCTAATCGTCGTTTTGCCACTGGCCTTTATGCCAGCGTTTGTAGGCTTCCCAGCGCAGGCCAGCCCTCCAACGCAAGTTTTACAGGCGATCATCATGAACATACAAAAAGTCTTCTCATACTTACTTTCGCTTGGTCTCCAGCTCCAACTTAGTGAGCTTTTTATGCTTCTTTTTATAGGATTTTGGCACAGTCGGCCTGACTTTTTCGAAACCTGAAAACATTGGTAAATCTATAATCCTCACAAGTAGAAAGCACTTATCAAATCACCTTTTCAAGAAACACGAAGCATTCATCAACGAACTCTTTGGGCATTGGTAGCATAGCAATTAATGAAGGGGATAATGCAAATGGATTGATAATGTCCACCGGTATCTGATCGATTGACGGCCCATTGTCATACTTGGACCACGCGCCTAATGCAGTTCTTAATACAGAAATCCTTTTCCGTTGTTCTAAAGGCAATGAATCATCGACAAGACATTCCGTTAGTTTGTCAATCGTTTTTTCCACACTGATACTTCGATTATACTCGATCCATTCGGGAACACAACCTTGGTTATAATTTTTCCAAGCCCATTCGGACTGCGTAAGGAACTTAGATGGACATATAGCACTGATAGTTACATCGTCAGCTAAATAGGCGTCGATTTTATTCATGTCATCCATCCAATGAGAGAGCAATTCGGGTAAAGAACGATCCACATGAAAAACTCGATTTCGTTTCATCTTTAGTAAAGTAGCCATCGTCGTTATATCGGGATGATACACATCCTTAGGGATAAGGTTCAAGCGTGGATGAGACAAAATTTTTTTTACGGCTTTGAAAAATAATTTTGGAGGATAGAGACAAAATGGAGGTCGCTCTACATTTTCAAGTGCTTCGAGAAGTCGAACTAAAACGAAGAGCTGTCGTCGAGAGAAACAAGGGTAGAGGGACCAAGGAACAGTACCCCGCAGCATCATTAAAGTCCACCACATTTTTATCGCTTGCAACTTGGCGTCCATGTCATCTACACCTATTAGATCTGGAACTCGCATGCATAGAGCAAGTTGACATCCAATCCTTGAATCTGAAATTATTTCAAGTGGTTTCAGCCACCTCCTCCATGGCCTTCCAATTCGTGGTAAATTCGGTTTCCCAAGAAATATGTATAAATGAGCCAATGATTTCCTATTCAGCAGCTCACTTGACTTGCGCTGCAAACGTAGCTTCATTAGGCGGTCCCAAATTAGGCCTGACGAGGCGGGGTCGGATATTACCACTCTTTCCGAATTAGTGAAGATATCAAGATTGTACCGACCATCTGAGTTTGAAATAAGACAGCTTAGTTCCTTCATTGAAATCGTACAACGATCTATAGCACCGGTAAATACTCGCTGAAGCAAAAGAGCAAACTGAGTCACCATGTATGACGAGAAAACAAGATGAGGCATATGACGATGGGCGAAATTTCTCCATCGCATCGAAAGTTCCATAAATGAATTTTTACATTTGACGGGATGTCTCGGATCCTTGACAAACACTACCTCTGTAGTACGGTTGAAGTTGCCACAGAAATTTTTTTCAGTGAGAAAAAGATCGGCCCGATCTTCAAGTGCGAGTCTTTTTACATACACGAAAGCCTCCTCCTCATACCTCCTCTTTCGAGACATTCTGACAGTAGACAATCGCAGTATTTCCACAGATTTTCGAGGAGTAGACAAATTAATTTTGGAATTTTTGTGAACGCCATCTGAATTTAAATACTTGCTGAATGACTCTTCCCTCATCAAAGATGTCAACTTATAAGAACCCATCTCAGAATAAGGCTCAATGTGACGAATAAATAGCGACTGTTCTTTACGACAGCGATGAACACTGACCACAAGAATATGAGCTAATGTACTTTCCTCTGCAGAAGTATCTATTGATTTACAAGTATCGAACAATGAAACTTCTTGACTAATGAAATCAAAACTTTGTGCAATCACTGAATAAACTGTTTTATAAACACGTGGGATAGGGCAAATATATTCCAAGTGACTACGATCATCAAGTCGGCAAAACCGTACAGGAAGGTGATAGCAGTTCAGTTTCGCACTATCCTGACGAGGAACTGCAGCATAATACTTGTAGTTACATGAAACAGGTCTCTTTCGCCGTTTTATGTTCATCTCGAAAGATTTAAGTACGACCGTATCATCTCTTGAAATTGAGATCACCCGATTTGAAGTTCCAATGTTAGTTTCTCGCGTATGGTGAACATCAACTCTAGTTACACTCAACACAGAAAATTCCGCCCGAGGAATATATACCAAAGTTTGAGTGGCCCCAGAAAATCCCATTTTCTTTCGCCTAACGTTTAACTTGAGAAAAGTGAGCATCGTATATTCTCTTCGTGGCAAAGGGAGTAATCCAGTAACACTATCCGCAAATCCTTGATGATACCGTTCAATATTTAATTCATAAACATTTAAGAAAGAAAATTCTTCTCGTGGTTGTGGTACAGAAATTTCGGCAATTGCTCCAAATTCTCTTCCTTTCCTTTCAACTTTTACTTCGCTGGCACTTAGAAAGGACGTTTCCAGATCACAGACAGGTAGAGTAAGAAAGGTGCATGCTGATACCCCCTCTCGCTTGCGTCGGACTCTTATATTACAATGCTGGTAGAAGGTAAAGTCAAAGACAAGCAGAGCAAGAGATATCTGTGTATTAAACGAATAGCCGGTCCGTAGAAGGGTCTCACTTTGATGATGACACGTCAGTGATGTTGAATCCAAACGATGAATAGGTAATGCGCATATGGTTGACGAAAACGAGTTCGGCCATTCCATACCAACATTGAAATGACAAACGCTCAGTGTTCTAGCATCAAGCAGAGCATGCGGAAGGGCTATTTCGGTGTAACAATTTGAATTATCAAGAATCCATCGTGGAGTGCCGAACGCAGCACTTGATGAACAAATTGACAAAAAAGCAAACGAGGTGCGTGGAATATTGATAATGGATTTTGTGGTCAAGACGCTATCGTCTCGAATATATAATAATTCAGCCTCAACGATGTTCGTACAGAAAACTTCCGTTTTCGGAACAGGAATGCAAACTAGGCATTCAATGGAAGGACCGATACAGTGAAGGTTCATGTTCATAACAGAACTAATAGTCATGGAATATTTTGCAAACAGTTTTTGATAGATAGGTTGCATAGTTTCAGTATTCGCTGCACAGCTTTGCGCTTCAAGAACAATATGCTTTGGGGAAAGAAACGTAGAAATACTGTCCTGAACGCACGTAGACTGAAACTGAGCCCACACTACGGAGGCATTTTTCACAGATGTCTGTCGATTTAAGCTACACGAGTCCTCGTGAGCAAAAATTCTCGTAAATTCATCAGTTTCCAATATGCGATGATAAACCGGACAACAGACTCTTGCAACTTCATAAGCCGGTTTTCTCATGAATTCATAGAATTTTGGAAAAGTTCTAACAAGACTCAAACTGTAGTCCTGAAACGGAAATGCATGCTCGTACCACGTGAAACTGACGCATCCGGTTTCCGATTTTCTACAGAGACTGCAATCTGTTGAACACACTTGATGAGGAAGTGGGGAAAGAGGATGTGAGGCAAGTTGCCAGCTATCCACTCCCTTGCGACGAGACACCGCACAGTCGTAAAGATACTTCCATTCATCGTCATCGCAATAATATACACATCTCGTCAAGCAACGTTCACAGCAACAAAGATCCAAAATTGGTATCCTTGCTTTATCACACGAAAGTTTCGGTAAGACAATATCAAGAGCGTAGCTTCGGAAAGATACATCTGCTTTTGGCCAATCAAACCTCTCTAATCCTAGAGCAGTAGGTAAGAGATACTCCATAGGTCCAGGTGAACACAGCGCTTCTCCGAGAGTATCCCGAACAATACTATCTAGTTCTTCTTGAAGACTTGAATATAATGATGCAACATTGGAGGCAGTAGTAGCAACATGTATGTTTTGCGGTGGATATTTATGAGTTAATGAAACCAAGGAAGGTGAAAGATGCCATGGCTCCACATCAAAATCGGAGGAGAAAAATGTCTGCGAACCATGGTCCGTTCTCATCCAATCCACCTGCTCAAACTGATCGACTCGATTTTCTTCTGATGTATTCGATGTCGGCTGCACCTCAGTTTCATCCGCTGATTGTTGGCTGGATTTTAAAATCATTTCATCCGCTGATTGTTGGCTGGATTTTAAAATCACATTTTGCAAGCAGATCGATGAAACTGAGCCAGAACTTTCACCTTTTATAGAAAATTCCGATTCAGGCATACCAGCAAGATAACTTAAACCATCGAACTGATCATCTGGAAAACCCATTTCGCTTCTCGACAATTCTTCTTGCAAAGCGAGTGCTGCTAGTGGCGATTCTCTCTCCGGAATACACGACGTCGTTGGAAGTGTCTCCAAAACCAAAACCGTTGGGGATGGTTCTCCAAAACTGACACCAGAAAAGCTATTCATTTCCAAGCCAAACGAAACATCTGAATGTGCAAATTCTTCAATTGCTTGCTCTTCCATTATTCGATCCAAATTCATTTCAAGTGGTTCTTCTATGACCGCAGACGTTGACCTACATCTCTTCAGTGGCCACGTGTACTTAACACGAGCCCTACATAACGAGAATTTCGGTGCCCCAAAGAAAGAAGATGTAGAAATCTCTTCTATCTTTCTTACGTTTGCCTCAGCACCGAGTTTCGGAATAGATTCCCTATGGTGAAGTCTGGTGCAACTCTTGTGCGCGGCATGAAATGGTGGTAAACGGACCTTTTTAAGACCTTTCTCGCTAGTAGAAGAAGCTTTATGCCCGACCGCTCCTTCCTGATGTCTTTGGTGACCAATTTTCATATCGGATACATTATGGGGAACTACGCTCCCATGGTTACTTTCAGCTGTACTGCCTGAAGAACAGCCACTCTTTTGAGGACCACTAGTCGTTGTGTTGGATTTTTTCGGGATAACAAACCTTGTCGAGGAACCCTGCTGAACATCAGGCTTGAAAGTTGACCGCGCTAACCATGGCATTGCCTCCAACTTGGCTTTTTCTGCAGCTGCCGCCTTCTCGGCCTCTGAAGGTTCTTTGGCAGCTCTTACAGCATCTCTGTACTTCTGAATTTCACGGGATTTCCTTATTCCTCTTAGTAGTTCTGTATCCCTTTTCCGCGAAGTTCCTCCTTTCCTTCGGCCTTTCCCTTTCTCTTTCCTTCTAAATTCGTCTAGTTCTTCATAATGGCGAAATACACACTTCCCAGCACGACAGAACAACTTCGAAAATACGTCTTTTCCAAGCAATTTAGAGGCAAACAAATCTCGATTTGGACTTGTGTCTTCCGATATGTGGTGCTGCATAAGATCCTGTATGACAATGTTGAGTGTAGCCGGAGATAATTGCCTTCTCGGCAGTCTAGATTCTTCAGGTGAAAGTTTATTTCGTTCCTCTTCAATTATTTCAGCAATTTGCTTTGCCAGCCTCTCGCGAGACAGTTCAACTTTCGAAAGAACGGATTTCCGAGGTGTCTCTTTGGACACTTTTAGAGCCATTGGTGATTTCTTCTTCTTCTTTTTTGCACAACGACGAAACGTCGCATGACGAGTAGATGGAGATCTTGATTTTTTTGACACAACAAGAGAAACGTCTGGATAGGAAGCAGAATGATGTGAACCAGATAGCGTGGAACAACCTTCTTTAGATGTTTCATCGGAAGAGTCGGAAACAAACAGTAACTTGTTCGTCTTTTTGACAGGTTTCTTCACATGTTCGGATGTTGATTTATTTGAAATTCTTTGCAACGCTTCAACATTAGAATATTTCGGACACACCGACCGTTGAGGAAGAGGCGAATCTGGCGTCTCCAAATCTTTTCCGGAACTCTTTCTTACTGGTGAACGCAACTGCTTTGCAGATACGCTTGTACCCGAATCCATTTTCGCACAATGTTTTAAAAAATCGAGTGTCTCAAAAGAATCCATTCTATTTCCGTCATGAGAATTGTCATTCTCAGCATCATCATCATCATTGTCGCTATTAACACCTTCAGCAGCAACAACATTAATGTTACTTACATCACCAGCATCATTAATATCATCGTCATCATCACCATCATCATGTTTATCACCACCCCCATCATCCTTGCCTCCGCTACCAATAGCATCATTGCCAACATGATCGCCTTCATGGCTAGTGCAACATTTAGAATTTCCCGGCGATTGTTGTGCCATAGGTAAGGGTTCAGAAGTTTCAGAGACCACTTGGTTCAATCCATCCAACATAGGCGGTGTGAGGTCGTCTCTTCTCCACCATTCTGCCTCATCTGATAGTGGTTCAGGACTGATCACTAGTGGAGAGACCTTTTCAAGGTTGTCACTAGAAAATGCGTCCAAACGACGAGCCGGTTGTGCAGGAGCACCGAAAGAAAACGTTGTTCTCGAAATCTGATCACATTCAGGAGAAGACTTCGTTGAAACCATTAATTCGGTAATAGTGTTCAATTTCGGTGACGTGCACTCGGATGATAGCGCAGTTGTTCGACAAAATTCAGACGACGGCAAAGTACTGGTTTGAGAAATCGAGACGCTAGGTTGGCCACTAAGATCGGTGGCTGGACTCGAACGATTTTTAGCTGGTGCAGCTGGCTGCCCACATGAAAACGAAGTACCAATCAACGAAACAGAGAAAACAGCATGCGAGTCATTGGCTAAGAAAGCAGTTTCAGTTAACGTCTTCTCTGAAATTGGACCAGAATTGGATTCGTAACTCATATCAGCGAATATTGGTGCTTCATCGCACGTAGGGTCCTTTAAAGGAGACATGCACATCGATGGTTGATCGACATTAAAAAGTGGTTCCGGTGCAGGAACTAGCAGCGACTTCTGAGCTGACAGAGTGGTAGGAGTCAACGAATTGAATTCAGCAATAACATCGTCCGAAAGGAGATAACCCAGATCGGCCGTTGCATCTACAGAGCGCAAAGCATCTGACCCTGGGGTCGAAGAACTAGGCACTTGGTGATATAAAATAGAGTCTCGTTTCACAGCGAAATTCGAGGAAGCATTTGATGGTACTGGAGTTATGTCCTCGAGAAATTCAGTAAACAATTCGGAACTTTCTCTACGCTCTGATAACTTAGTATTCGATTCACGGATCCTCGCGTTAGCCGCGAATGCTGCAACCAGTTCATCCACACTGAACTTTTCTCCATGACTCTGCTGCACTTGTCGCTTTAATCCAAGTCTTTTCATAAGTAAATCACCTAGCGGACCTGCACATTTTTCCTTTTCCATCTGATCCAACTCAAATAGTGTTCGTTCATAGTCTTCTTTCTCGATCCTGTGATGTTTCATGGCCAAAATAATATCAAATCGAAAATGCTGGCAATTCAGTCCTTTTTCAACCGGTGACCCTTGAATATCTATTTCAGAGATATCGTTTTGAGAAAAGTCCTTCGGATAGAAAAACGTTGGAATCAAAGAACTGGACTCATCGTCAGCTACCATCATTCCTGGCGAGCACGAGTTAGGCGATATACGAGCGGGCACTGTAGCTTCTGAGTCGTTTCGTGGAGGAGGAGGACACTGCGTAATATCAAAGGTTCTCAGCTCTCCGTCCATCATTGGCTCGATTAAAACCGCCCCAGAAATTGACGACGAAACCATATCTGAGTATCTAGTGGCATGCTGGTCAAGGTTTGCCTCCAATGCTTCGTTCGACGTCAATGCTTCATGATTCTGAAGCATATCAATAATAACACCAGAAGACGAAGACCCACTCATGTCCATGAGTCCAGAAGGAAAACTGGGCGTTTCTTGCTGTTTATTTGACGAGATTTCTGAAGCATGTTGTGAAACACCAACATTTGCAACCTCGCAACTCGTAGACATTTGTTGACCTTGTATTCCAACATGCTGAGTGGTTTGAAGACCACATGCGGGCTGTGCACTGTAACTTGAAACCATGTGGCTGTATTGATCACCGTACTGAGCAGGGCTTTCGTAAATTTGCCGTTGAATATGTTGCTGTTGCATATGCTGCTGGTGATAATGCTGCTGCTGTTGTTGATCCGCTTGCTGCCGTGTGCGCGGTGACCTTTGTGAACAAGTATGGGAAAAATTCGAGCTTTGTGAATAAGGTGATTGTTGTTGAAAAACGGTCGAAGCTGGATACGATTGCTGCATATAGCTGAATGGTTGAGAGAATGCCGACACTTTCTGAATCTCTGCCGTTTGCAGATACTGGGACTGCTGTGAATGCACACCTTGTGTGGGATATTGTGCGGAATGGTTCCCAACAAACGCAACATGTGGCTGATTCTCAGCAATCATACGCTGATCGAATTGCGATTGCTGTCCATAAGGTGACTGCTGTACAAACTGCGGTTGCTGACGATACACATTCGCGGAAGCTACTGTCGGCCACTGATATGAAACTCCTTGTGACTGATACATTTCAGCAGCAGAGGAACCCATTTGTGATGATAAATCCTGGTGTTGGCCATAAGTAACGCTGGTCAGACCACTTTGCGCAAATGGGACCGTCGCTACCATTTCACCCGATTGCGAATAAACGTGGGGTGACTGTTCATAATGATGAGCAGTTGCTACGTCTCCAGGTTGCCCGTGGTGTAGTGTTACAAGCTGACGATTCTGCATCGAAGGATACGGAATTTTCATTTGACACTGTTGTGGTTGTGGTGCTGTGAATTGGGAAAGTGGAGGTAGCGAAGACACTAGAGGACCACCTTCACCTTGAGCATTACTTGATCTCACTTGCTGGGGCAACCACGTGGACATTGGAATTGCGTTTGAGTCCATTACCTCGCGGTGATCCTGGGCCGACGCTGCCAACTGTTGCTGCATCGTTGTTACTGAAGACGTTATTACATTCTTGTTCTGTACAAGGGTTGAATGGGCTTGCACACCTCTAACAGACTTGTTTGCTTGATGTCCATGCCATCCCGGAATAGGTGTGGCACTCATTTGGCGACTTTGGAGAGTCATCGACTGCTGCGGTTGGATTTGATTTGTTGATGGAGCCATCGGTGCTTTGCGACGTGTTCGTGGTTTCCTCGTAGGAGTAGCGAATGGTGTCACCTGGTTTTGTAATGATGTGTCAGCATTTCCATGCATGGGTGTTGCTGTCATGACGCGTTGGCTATCTTCACACACGTTACCGTGCATTCCAGAAGTAGAAACCGGATGGTACTGATGGGTTTGCATTGTAGGCGCGATAGAATACGACTGTCGGATCTCCACTTGGGGAATCGGTGTTGAAAACTGCCTCGCCTGCATATAGTGGACCGGTGTCTGCATTGTTTGACTCTCCACACGAGTATCCCTTGTTAACTCAGATATAGGACACTGCCGAATTTCTAGAGGTGGAAGTGGAGTGGCCATCTGTGATCGTGGTACTGATAAGATGGGTTCCTGTTGAGACCAGCTTGGTAAAGATGTCGCTACTAGTCTTCGCTCTGCAAATGGTGTTGCTGGAATTGCTCCTTCCGAGAGATTTAACCCATCTCCTTGCGTATATGGATCCATGGAAGTCGTCCTTTGCATACTTGGTGTACAACTAGTCTCGTTATTGCTCAAATGAGCACCAACGTTCGAAGATGTAGTAACTGAAACTCGTGCAAGTGTCGAGTTATTGAAAGCAGGAGAATAGTTCACTTCACTAGTCATTCCCACTTGTGATGTAGCAAATGGTTGGGCGAATTGGAAATCTTGTTCGTGATATGGACCAACAACAGACTGATTTGCCGTAGTTGGAGCAAAATATTCGCTTGTAACGTCTCCTTGAATAAGATCATGAATCCCAACTCTCGCAAGGTTGAACGGAAACCCAGCCGGTGCTTCTGCTCTTCTATTCACGACATCAGTTATGTACTTTCTACAAGCACCTTCATATAAAGAGTGAAATTTTAGCAAACGCACAAACAAATGACTGGGTAAGTCAGATGGTACAGATGGGAAAAGTGAGAAACTGAGCGTCTGATTAACTCCTCCTTGACGTTTAATCCGTAAGTTTTTCAAACGTTGAAACTCCCTTTTGTACTCCTCCAGATCGCATCCAGCTGAATAACAATCAATTAATAAACGAGCGAAGTCAGGATGTGTATCTGCAATATCTTCCACAGTATTAGCAGAAAGCACAGCTTCAACAATCACAGGATAATTTCCATCATGTGCTGACGATGAAGTGCTCGTTGTCGATCCTTGGGATGCTTCAGCAGGATCACCAGTATTATGTGTGAATACAGATTCACAAAGTTTAAAAGACTTCAGTGCCCGATGACGACGAGAACAAGGTTTGTGAAAAACCAGTTTTAGAAGCGATGATTCTTGAGGTCCATCGACGACTACTTCTTCCACGTACAGATCGTTCTGTACTTTGCCTTCCAGAGAACACGGTATATGCTTCATCTTCAAATGAATATTTCTCCAGCAATAGCAACGTAATTTCCTTTTTAGAAACAGCAATGACGAGAACGCAAAAAGGAAATACAGTTCAATCATCGTACTAATAAACAGTAACGACGCCAGCGAGTCCATAAGAATTCGAGTCCAGCACAGAACGTTCACCAGGAATACGGCTTCTGCAACAGCGTACGTCAATTTTTGGTCCGAACAAGAAAAGTCAAAGTAGAATTTCTCCTATATTTTTCCGTGAAAGTGACGCAAGCTGTGCTTCGGCTTGTGTGTTCGCTCGTGAGTTACTGACTGACTCAAAATTGGATAAAAACACAAGAGGCTTCCAAATCGGATGAGATTTGTGCAAAATAAATCAGGCAACCAGGACCGGGAAAAAAAGTGTAGGAAGATGCTGTCAATACCACTAACCTTTCAAGGAACATATACCGTTGCGCTGCAGCTCTTGGAGTTTAGCAATTCTTTCCAACAGCTCACTTGATCCTACAAAACATTACAGTATTAGTTCAAGCTTCTTTATGTGACATATACCGCAACTTACGCTCAATGTGGCCCCGTAGATCTTCTAGTTCCTTCTTAGTCAAGCATTGCTGGGCACGAACCGTCAGTTTTTCTAGAGCTGTACGTTGAGAAAAGATCTGACTGGCCTTGCGCTTTTCCATAGTCATATTCTAAAACACCTAATGAACATCTGAAGGCACAAAAAAAATGCTAAGTATATACCATCATGAATTTGAAGAATTCCGGAATTTTGTCATGCTCTACTATAGCACGACGATAGGCCTTCCGAATTTTGAGAATACGATTGTATCTGAAAAATTACTCACTGGATAAATGAAACACAAAACGTTGCGAAAAATGAAAAGTTATGAAACTTGCTTTTCTATGCGAGCAAACTTTATATCGTTTTCAAATTCCTCCACTCTGTCGGACGACTCTTCAATCATCATACGACTGATTAAATTCTCGGCTTCGTTGCACCATTCCTAAATTTCAAATGAACAACGCTATACAGATGCGTCCTTACTTTCAAAACGCTCGCAGAGAACGGATAAATGTATAAAACTGAATTTCTATTAGCCCTATTACCCAGCAATATAGGTTAATGTTTGGAAGGGTAAGCGTTTAAGAGGGTTTCACAAACGTGTAATAATATAGACAATTCTGCAAGATTCAAGATGAGCACGATATCACAGATATGGTAAAGTATATAGTATATAGTAAATAGGAGAAAAAAAAAGAAAACCATAGAAGATTCGAAAAATTTTCCCCTAACAAACTCGAGACTATACGTAACTTCCAGTGGTCAACTTTTTCACGTCCTTCAGGAGCATTAAAATTAATATGCACGCTTCCTAGCTCCCGAAAATAGCTATGCCTCGATTTTCCAGTGAATTTCCAACCATTGACATGTTTCCCATATTCCGCACCATGTGTCTTCTTGTACAGCAATTGGATATGTTCGCTAGGTTCCAAAAATATGCAATATACATCTTGGGATTTTTTAAATAGTTTCTATATTCCGCATTCCACGCAAGAACTATGGCTCATAATAGCGATTGGGAAAGAAAGAAGAACAAATTCTGCTCAGAAAATGAACTTCATAGGGTATCATTTTTTCAGATGAAAACGAATTGAGTTCCATTTTCGATCAACTGTACAATGAAGATTAATAAGAAGCTGAAAATGCTGAGAATAGTGAGGAACTTCTTTCGCCTCCTGTGAAAGAATCTGAAGAGAGCGCACTGGAGGAGTGAAGATGACTATGAAGATATCAGTAATGAATGATCAAACCCAGCAGTGTCTGGGCTATGCGACTTCTACGACACTTAGTCTAGGGTTCGTGGCTAGTTTCTCCACCATACATACAACTCACCAACTCTTATGAGATACTTGAAACTTATACCTAAGATTTGTTAGCGAAACTGAAGAATAGTTGGAGATTTGAAAATATTACGAATCCAGATATTGTTACAAAATACACCAAGCAGGTAATTAATGGATGAAGGCAATATAAAGAAATGTTCCTTCTTTGATTAACTGAACCATAATTATAAGATGTATTAAATGCTTGTGCAAAAGTGTAGTATGCAAACTCCAAATTTAAAAAAACTAAAAATTGCAGGTAAAATGTGCTGCCTGTTACGCAAAATACTTCCAAAAGCACACTATTCGAAAACATACGCAATTCGCACTCCTTGGGTGAGTGCCGGAGCAATTCCAATGTATTTATTCTATCCAAAAAGAACCTAGTATCCTTCCCATCGGTAACAATATGTATGCATAACCTACCGCGGTGGGACCCAACGAAACAGACTGAGTCGACCTAATAACAATTTCTTGCAAATTATGCAGATTTACGATACAATTCTTCGCGGACTAAGTCCGACAAAACTGTGTGGGCAGCTATCCATCTGGTGCACAAAGCTATATCGAGAAAGCGCAAGCAGTAAAAGAATTATCTTTTAGAAAGTGTGTTGAACAGAACGTGTACGGCCCTATGTGCATCCACGTAAGCACTGTCACAAACGCAGTCGACAAAAATACACTATTCGTCGTTTTTTCTAGGACTTTTTCATATACGAGCCACTGGGATAAACTAGAATAAGGAAACATTTCATTGTAAGAGACATAAATCATCATACCCATTCAAAATCACTTCTGCACGGGTTATATGCTAGCATATCCATGTCGCTTTGCCGCACTTTAGGCCTAGCTGAGTAATCATTGGAATACAGTGCGAGTTCTGGTTTGGAAGCACGCAATTCTTGAACCTTTTCAGCCGAACAAAGTTCGGCTAACTGCAACAATAAAACCTTTAACATCAGAAATCTGAGAGATACTGGTACGTAAAAAGAAGAAAAAAGATAGAAATGAGAGCGACCAGTAAAATAGGAGATAACGAGAAGGATGACAGCCTACTCTCTATTTTGTGCAATGTTAAAAACACGTCTCATTATCCTAACTTAATATATCTTATCTCGAAAATATAACAGAAATATGTATAAAATATATACACATCTCACTCATAACGCCACAACACACCTCACTCAGTCGTCTTTCAGCGACCTTAGTCATTCGAGCCATACGCTTTTGAATCTCTTTCAGACGACGGGCTTTCTTGGACGCCAGCCTTGCCCTTTTTCTTCTTCTTACTGAACCAGTCGTATTAGAGGATAGTTGAACAAATTCCGCTTTCGGTTCCTCAGAGTCCGAAGCAGTATATTCGTCCTGACAAGATAATGCATTCGTTGAAATAATTTAAAAGCTATTATTGGGAAGGATGAACATTTCGTCATACCGTTGTGTCCTCTCTCTCTAAACCATGCATGGAATCCTGAACCTCCTCTACTGACGTCTGATCTGTCTCCACAGCCTCTCCATCTTCCTTGAAACTTATTTTCTAAACAAGTCCAAAATCAGCGCAAAAAAATGAAACATACTCCACTCCCACAGTCATCGTCAGTTGAAGAACTGTAAGCTTGCACTCTTCGATAGCGCGATGTTTTACCATTCTTTTCTAGAGCTGCCTTTCGAAGACCACATCTGATTCTTTTCTAAAAAATGGATCCAAAATTCGAAACATTTGGTCATATTAAAACGGAAAGCCATCGACGACCTTGTTCACCCTCATAAAGGCCACGGAAGGACCCAAGAACTTCCGTACCGACTTGTTAGTCGTGGATCTTGTTCCACATTTAACCTTGAAATGTGAAAGTGCGTGACAACGACAAATCAATGAAGCAGCATAATATCCATGAGAAACACTAAGACATCATCTAGGATCTTAGATACATAGATGCTAACCTATTTCACACGCTCAACAGCAAGTGAGTAGGTAATAGCAAGTTTCAATATCCAGTTAAACATATGAGATAAAATTACCACTTTAACTGTTCGTGAAAATGATATCGTGTTTGAGTCGTCTTCGTCGCTGTCATTCTCTGGCTCCAGTCCGGTCGAATATGCATCCTCCGGGGGCTAAACATATATACCGATAAATTTCAAAAACTCTTCGAGCAATTACGAAAAAAAAATCATGTAAATAATGCGAGACTGTGATTGGTGCTAAGAGCACAGCCATTTCATTAAAAGGATAACAATTTCTAGAAGAATTACTCAGATATCACTTGTCATTTACCTCTCTTCCTATCTTCCTAACCCATTCAAGTTTGTAAACAAAGACTATAAAAACAACTTCGCTTACGAAAATATAAACTAAGAAGAAAATTTCAACTTCTCTACCGGAAACTTAATTCAGTTAGGTTTGGAAAACAACGAACTAAATATTCGAATGTACTGTTATATGCAAATCGTCACCTTATTTCTATCCATTTCACCATCGGACGGGTCACATGAATCGTCGGTCAGCGCCACATCGTTGATATCCGATGGCTCACATTCCTTGCCACATTGGGGTTGCTACATAACTATTTGATAGTTCGAATAGAAAAACTTCAATTTAACACGATATGTCAGCATACCTGACGAGCATCTACATCCAAACGATTCACATAGTCCCGCACGATTTTCTCAACCACGGTTGTAAGATTATCATCGTTAGGATCCAGCCTCTCCTTACCTTCTTTAAGAGCGTCCACAATCACTAAAACAAACAAAATAAAAGAGAACAACTGCCTCAATACAGAAACTCATTGGACAGTTCAATACTTACACAACATGTAAGTGATACGATCAGCCTCGCACTGGTATCTTAGGGAACCATCAGCAATCATAGTCCTCTTAGCTTCTTCCCTATAACATATAAGTCTACATAAAAAGTATTAGGCATCTGAATCGCTACAATACAACAGCTTACCAATTCAAAAGTTTAAGAGCAAGCTGACCGATTGGACCACGAATGAAAAATCGGTCATAATACTCTTTTACTTGACTTACGGGACGATTCGTCTCCATCATACGAGTGACTTCTCCCCTTCAAAATGAATATACTATAGGATACAGTAAAAAGTAACGCTAAATAGTAAAAATAACTTACCAATTTCCAAGTTTGAACCTGTACGCTGCTTCAAGAAGTTTTCGCTCTTCAATAGCTCCCCAGCTACCTTTCGCATCAAAGATTCGACCACCAAGAGGATCACGGATTTCATAATTATGGCCACGAAAATGACGGCCCGCTTCACAACCACACGAAAAACACTATAAACAGTATACCTATACAAGTCAACACTCAATAAGAGGAGTCCCATGCTAATGTTAAGAAGCCGGTATAACCTAGAACTCTTAAACCACAGACATTATTTCGCCTAAGCAATAAAAAATGAAAGAAGTAACTGATCGACCTACATCTATACATATCATGGCAGGACATTCGCAGCACTTCACATGTAGTCGATGTTGTATTCGCTGTCGGCAGTTAATACAGATGATAATGTCCTTTGATTCTGAGCCACCAGAAGAGGCCATTTTTATTTTATCTGAAAAAAGAAGCTCATTTTAAGAAATGGATAGAATTACTTTCAAAAGTTGTGAATAAACATATACTAATGGATATGAGTCATCTAAACAAAGAACATTGCACAAGGTTCGCTTATCCCTAGAACAGGACTGACATTCTTCACAATGGGATTCCACGACCTCCACAACAACTAAGGCACAATGGCCCGATCAATGAAGGGTCTAAAATAGGCCAAAGATGGCCACCGTTATCCTAATCTGCGCCAAAGGCAAAACAATCTTACGGAATTATATAGCCCAAATTCTTTCATGTGATCGGCTAAACATGTACTGACTGCCAATTACTGCTTAATACGATGAACTGTACAGGTTTTTCGAATGGAAGACGTTGCCCAGCACGAATGATGGTGCCCATTACGAAACACCTACTCCGCCATCCTGGGTCAATATAACGCAGCAACCGCGTCGCAAACCACGGCATTATCTGTTTAGCAGCAGAGCTGTCTACAACTATGAAAGATTTTATAACAAAAACAATTAATTGAAGAACAGTAAGGCAAAATAAGCGGCTTTTTCAAGCTTGCTTAATAGGGATTTTACTCCACGCCTGAAAAAAATTGACAGAAATCAAACCAACTTTTAGCTAAAAATATGCAGACAGTATGTATATTCAAACTAGCAAGACAAAAGCGTTTCTAATTCGAAATGTTCTCGATTCCTGGTGTTATAATGCACCTACCTATGTTATAGAACCTTCAGTACATCTCAAAAACACATCTACTTCAACAGAATAAGGCCCCAAATGCTACTAACCTAACATATGTATACTTAGATGATAACTTCAAGGAAAATAGAGAAAACATTAGAACCCATGAAGAAGTATATGAAGTATAAAAAAGTATAAAAACCAAGACTTACCTTACTTGTATACAATAAGAACAACGTTACAGTCTCCTCTAAAACTTTGACAAATACGCTACACTTTCAAATTAGTGATAAAGAAGATAAGAATTACCGAAAAGTTGTAAGTAATGGATGCTTTGTCCGAAAGAAAATCAAATACTGCTAGGGCAGGTCTGAAGTATGAATTTCTCAGGTTTCCCATAATCGATTCTTTCGAAGGGACAATGGTTAAACAGTACTTGTATTCTTTACCATCTGTGTGAACAATCAACTACGCAGTTATTGGTGACGATAGCATGGAAGCTTAACACTCTACGTAACATTCCAGTACTCGACTAAGTGATTACTAGTAGGAATTTACAGGTACAACTTTATTTCTGAGTTTACTTTCCTATTGCCATAGTAGTATCGCACACATTATCGCAAAATACTGAAAGCTATATTCTTTAAGCTTCGAAAATTCACATGAGAAACAGATTTTTCAAAATATGGACGCTAACAAGAACTCAATAGAAAACATATATTTTTAGTACGAGCATTAAGATATCAAACACCCCTGACTACACATTGCAAAGACTATACCTGCGACAGTAGTTCAATGGGTACCTATCGCATCCAAATGTTGTTTTTCGAGTTTGTATCAACGCTTGTAATATTATTTCTTTCAGTAAGTAAAAATTCTTTGTCTTCTACACAAAACTAGCGGAAACGAGGAGACAGAGGCGAAACGAAGGACCAGCATGGTGTGGTGGTGAACGCATTTAACCACGGAAAGCACAATAGCGCGTTCGTTCCCCACCGCAGACACCTGCGGTCCGGAGTTTTGCAAATACTTTAGCATAATTGTGGCTGTATTTTTGTCTACTTTTTTAAAAAACCTATGAAGCATTAGAAGCACGTGTAGTGCAGTGAACAGAGATGGCCTGCAATACAGACGTGGACTTTGGATTGACTCTGCACTCCGTGCTCACCAAGCAATATATCTTCAAACAAACGGTCGGATAATTCGAAAAAAACTTGTCTAGATGTAAAAATATTGATTTCGCACATTGAGGAGCTAACAAAAATCAACAATGTTTGTGTTACGTTCAACCGCACGGCATACCCTTTAAGAATGCCGAATACCCTATCCTAGAGCCCACTATGGCCGTTGGAGCTATCACAAGACACTAGTCGTATAAGTAAACTCAAATCTCACGTTTGAGGTTTTTAAGGAGGAAAACTGGAAACAAAATACTATCGGTCTCACACAGAGCTGTAAGTTCTTTATCAGCAATTACGCAAATGCGCAACTATACGTAGGAATTTGTTTTTCGGATAGAAAAAGGAGATGCGGCAGATCTATAGTTGTTTCCTATTACATATATCCCTGATCTTAATCTCTTAGAAGAGCTTAACTGGAGCAAAAATTACCACAGAAACGAATTTTTCTATCTTCCAATAAGAATTCTCTATTGACAACCAATCTAGTGCAATACAGAATTTTCGTATTTCCTCAAAATAAACTTTAGCATATAGGTTCCACTGTCAACGAGTGGCAGGAATGACTCCTTGTTTCCCGTTTAGGTCCACTTTAACTTTTTTGTCACCCTCAGTTCAGAAAACCTCATAGGTGTGACAAAAAAAAGCTAACAATATTACAGGAGCCAAAGATTATTGAGAACCGTTCTAAATACACATTTCAATTGCCAGTAATTCCCTATTTCTAGATAGTATCGGATTATTGTCAAAAACAAAAACTCACAGACGATCTATGCACACATCTTAACTGCCGTTAAAGGCATGTCTTTGAATAAAAGCACATTATTAACAAAAACAGAACAATGTATTGATTTGGTAATAAGCTTACACGAGACTCTTAAAAATTTCTGTTATGACTCGCTAAACGTGTTACGTAGTGCGAGGTGGATTATGCCATGCTACATTTTCCACTTTACAACAATTCCAAGTAAGCTTATAAACAAAACAGGACATTGACTACACATACCGAGGTAAAAAGAAAGTCGGTATTCATAAAAAAAAAAGGAAAGTTAATCTAATTTACTACCTACTTTTCCATCTTATTGGCCTTCTCCGAGGATAATCTTCCGTTCTGCCAAAGAATAGAGCATGTAACGCCTTGTAGAACTGCAAAAAGACCGGTTCAAAAAAGATGGCTTTTATCAATTCCAATAGAAAGTTTTCAAAGAAATTTCACCATATTTCGAAGTAACTGGGCAATTTAAAAACAAAGTTCCATGATATCGACATATATACTTGGATATTTGGATGGTCCCATCGACACTGGTTGTGCAGACTCCAGCATAATTTTCTCTGACTCGGAGTTTTGCTGATTTAGACATTGTGGTTCCTTGGAGTTCCGAGGTCAGCAAGGCCAAAGTCTGGCCCAAGTCGTCACCACCACAGGCATTCGCCGCCCTTGTGGATAAGAGAGAGATTTGCCACCATGCGACTAATTTCATACCAGGACGGTAGTGGATCCTAGCGTTGGTTTACCTTTCGCTGGGGTTCGTGATGAGAACGCCGAACTCATTCTCAGCTTGGGAGACTCTGCCAAGAGGATGAATCCCCCCAGCTGTACATCGCAGTCCGACACTCAGGAACATCTCCCAACCACAATGAGGCGGTAAAACTTTGGGAGGATTGACGTATATGAAAAGTTAAAATAAGGCTTCAAAAAAGAGTGTTAAACCTACTCTAGAAGGGTTATCAACCATTTGCCACATACCGTCGAATCCGCGGAATAATCTAAAGAAAGAAAACCGTTAACGTATAACAGGTGATATGCTCAAATTCGCTGCCTTCAAGAAATATATCATAATGTATCTCAAACCTAGTACAGAGTTCTAGTTTTGATTTCTAAGTATCATTTACATACGTCTTACGGTGCCACCAACTAATGATAAGATGTAAAAAAAAAGATACTCTACAACAGCGGCCGTGAAACCACGAACAATGTTGCGAAACGAATCCCTCTCTCTCTCCCTCTCCCTCTCCCTCTATCTCCCTCTCTCTCCCTCACTCTCTCTCCCTCTCTCTCTTCTGTCTCCAGATCTCTAGCACCTGCGATTTTCTTAGCATTCGAATTGTCCTTGCATAATGTTTTAGAACTCTGTATTCATAGTAAGTTATAGGAAGAAGAAGCTCAATAAGTGATATATATAGGTGATTTCTACAAGACAACATATAATCGAAACCACTAAACATCCATTCATGAAAGAAACTAGTCAATAAATGTATGCAATAAACAATAAACAGTGTACTTATGGTCTTAGCATGGAGAAAGCAACAGTACAATGTAATCTTGGTGGATGTTCTAAGGATAAGGAGCGATTTCGTCAGATTTAGGAAAGAACTGTTTCGCAATAAGCGCTTAGGACCGCGCGCTGCGTCACTACCGTACCAGTATAGAGATCATCTGTCTGGGGTAAAGGCAATGTTTACTCTACCTAGCATTTCACAATCCACGAAACGACTTTCTGGATTCAAGCAAAACAAGTTGATTTCACTGATACTTATGTAGTTCCATATGGAGACAACCAACAGCAGAAAAGTGACATATGTAGTGGCCATTTATATTTGTAACTGGTGGTCACATTAACTGGAAAAAGGGAATAGTCTTTGGGCAATATGCATCGTGTTCTTTATCCTTCACAATCAAGGAAAAAGTGAAGGCCATATATCATGTATTAGTTTGAAGCTAATACAAAGTAATCTGAAAATGATGGATAACTACAAGATGGAGCGTAACATAAGTGAAATAAACCATAGATTTACAACCTTAGAACAATCTACACGACAGCTGTTATGTCGTTGAAATACAATATTCAACGAAGTATTTAAAACGGTACTTTGAATGGCACCTATCGACTAGTGTTCCAGGAAAGCCGCATGTGTCAACGTGCCGTGCACTATTCCCAGTAGATCTAGAGAGCCGTCGATAGGAGGGAGATTAGCGTTATGTCGAAGTATTCCACATAATGCCTAATGCATAAGGCAATTCACACCTCAGAAAGGATCTCCGTGAGGCTCTGCGTAAGGATTACAGTGAGAACATAAAGGTAGAGAGAATTGTGATACCGTTAAAAATGTTTTACGAGTTAGATATCTCGTGATCTTTATAAGGCGATATGAACTTGTTAAAACTCATCGATTTCACATTGGCTGACGTCTTGGTAGCTTTCAACTTCTTACCGCCATTTACCACCTCTGTACTGGTTAAGAGAGACAGTCCTTTGCAAATTTAATCACCCTATGTGGATTACGCGCGCGTGTGGCGCAGTGGTCGGAGTCGCCTTGCAATACACATGTAATCGATTCCCGCGCCCTTGTCTTACCTCCCTCCGGGGTCGGCAAATTGGTGACATACCCATCTGGAAGGATAGTAGCACTGACTCGATGCATTGGTGGGCCACTGCGAGTCGTTGCAAAGGTTAGATATACATTCAACCAAACGATGCATAGTGAGATCGAACGCATGCATGGCCCATCCCTAAGGGATTGATCAACGCC